CTGTGGGGCCCTTTTAAAGCCCTGCTTCTGTGTCCCAATGTTTGAAAGTTTCTGGATTTGTGGTAAAATAAGCTTTGTTCTGTGTTTATCTCCACTTATAAGTGCTTCATGCCCTTTATGAACAAAGGGTGTCTGTGTCATCTCCCTGTGTCCCCAGCGTGAGCCGAGGTCAGGTCCCCTGGGGCTGGTGCTGCCTTAGGGAGGGAGAGCCACTTTCCAAAGCAGAAATCGAGTTTCTGTTTAGCCTCTGTTCCCAGGGGTTGTCATCGGTTTGTCTAAAGGCCTTCTTCCTTCATCATGGCCCTTAGCAATGGAACACAGAACTGCATTTCTCCAACAAGTTTGAATTCCCCACATGGAGCCAGATTTACCAAATAAAATTGCTTAATTTAACATTTCTAACTGACCAGGATGTTTGTGCAACAAACATGAAATTTCTTCTGACTCCGCTCTAATATCTTCTACATTTTACAACGTTCTTGGCAAATTATAAGAGATTGTTGACTTAATCTTACTTTGCTTGTGATGAACCTTCAAATATGAAATAAAATACTCCAAAGGGACATTTCGAGAATTTCCCAGAACCATTTCTATAGATACAGAATGTCCTTGGATGGAGCTTGAGAAGTATTTTGTGCCCAAATAATCACACCATAAATTCTGTTCACTAATAAAACTTCTGAAAAGGAACCAAGTGGACGCTCACAGTGAGCAGTGTGTTTTCCAGGGCTGCGTGCTGGGAATCAGCTCCCATGTGTGTGAGCCCTTGGAGTCACGGACTAACTGCTCTGAGGGTTTCCTCTGAGAAGGTGTGGCTCTGCTGCACCTTCCCTAGTGACTTCTCATGGTCTCAAGTGACTCACGGGCCACAAGTGCCGATCACTGTCCTTTTCTTCTTGTCAGTTTCCAAGTTGTGGTTGGAGCGAGAGCTTCCTTATGATGACCCTGTGAGCATGCATGGATTTTATTTACGGAGCTGTGTATTTGCTGAGCGAACTCTAGCGTATGCAGAAGAGGACAGAACTCACAGGGAACAGATTGAAATTTTACAGAACTGCGTGGTGGCGTTCTAAGAGATGCAGTGGCCGTGAGTTGTTGTTGTGGATTAGAGATGAATTACATCTTTAGAGATCACCCGCACCGCGTGGGTCGCCTCGCCGGCACCTGGAACAGTGCCTGATGGGATCTTCAGCTAGGTGCGTCGGGTACCCCGATCGTTGGAGTGTTATTGTTGAAATGAAAACCAAATGCCCGATCCTAATGTTGGGCTATTTTAGGATCAGAACATTGTTGCTTAAAGGACTTAATTTACAGCCAAAAACCTCTGATTCTGGGTAACTGGAGCCACAGGGCATTTATTGGAAATACTTGGAGGCCTCGAAGAGTGGGAGTTGCACAGCCAAGTGTTCCCCAGGGTCCCGGAGTGGGTTCCTGTGGTCTGGACAGTCCCGCGGAGACCTTCTACCGGCCTCCTCTGTGTTCACGTGCCAGGGACACGGCACCCAAGTAGGCACGGCTGTGCCTGGGGCAGGAGTCTGCACCCTGGACTCGGGGTGGATCGGGCCGCTTCTGTACTTGGCCCGGAGCGCTTGCCACCAGGACCTTCTGGGTCCCAGGGTTTCTGTACCGGGACCAGAGCACTGGCTGTTGGGAACAGGAAGTGTGCTGTGCACCCAAAGACCAAGGTTTTCCTTCTCCCTCTTGCTCATGACCATGATTTTGGCATCTACTGTGACATTGGAATGATCTATGGCCTCTCTGATTATCCTACAAAATGTCCACCTGGACAGATACGCTGATTGATGAAGCCGCAGTCGTGCTCATCCGGTTTCAGGAGTCTGCGTCCGGCCCAGGAGGCCACGGCAGGGAAAGCACTTTCTAGTGGGAACACAGAGGAGGGTCTGAAACGCAACATGTTAATGTTTTTTTCGAGGGGGTACACGGAAATTCGTATGGTTTTTAACAAGTCTCCTAGCATTTGGCAATACAGTCGGTAAGGGACAAGTCACGAAATTCCACACATGAGGGTCCTCGTGTTGTAAATGGAGTGGCCAGAGGAGCTGCGACCTGGGTCCTTCTATCACTGTCGATACCAGAACCGCTTATCATCTAAAGAGTGGTTCCTAGGGGCGCCTGGGTGGCTCAGTCGGTTAAGCAGCCGACTTCGGCTCAGGTCATGATCTCGCGGTCCGTGAGTTCGAGTCCCGCGTCAGGCTCTGGGCTGACAGCTCAGAGTCTGGAGCCTGTTTCAGATTCTGTGTCTCCCTCTCTCTGACCCTCCCCCATTCATGCTCCGTCTCTCTCTCAAAAATACATAAACGTTAAAAAAAATTAAAAAAAAAAAGCAGGTCCTCGAGGGCCTGTTAGGTGCCAGGCCATCCCAGCTGACACTCGGGAAGCACGGTCCTCGTGCTCTGCTCGTGCATCTAACCTCTTTCATCCTCGTGGGGCCCCCTGAGTTGGGTGCTGGTCCCCCACAGCACGTTCTTCTCAGCTTCTCGGCGGTCCCACCTGCTCGATGTTACGTCGACAGTCGCAAAGTCCCTGTGAACTGCAGTCAGCTGGTTCCGAACAGACTAAAGCGTGGTTTATGGAGAATCGCTTCATAAGCAGGAAAGTGCTATAAAGATTTTATATCCGCTCAAGGCATTGTTCTCTCTGTTTCCTTCCTTTGGAGAAATGCGAAGGCAAAAGAATGCCATTGCTCGATTCCACAGAGAAGCTCAGGCGGAGGACAGGTGTGCTCCCGGGGCTGTGGGCCTGGGGTCCCTCAGGGCAGCTCAGGGGGAGAGGGCCCACAGCCCTGGGGGGCCCAGAGCCTCCCTACCGTTAGCCACGTATGTGACCGGGGACACGGGGCTCTGTTCTCTGCAGTGATTCCGTGAGTGAGAGCCTGACCGGTCCCACCTCCGACACTTCTGTGATCGGCCTTGACCTTGAGCCTCCTGGGGTCAGGGAGTGAGTGGCCGGGTCTCCGCATGTCCGCTCGAGGGGCCTCGGCGGAGTGGTCAGAGGCCCTCCCGGAGAAAGCCCACTGCGAAGACAAAGTGCAGACTAGCACACACATTTGGAATTCTTTAAAATGGGGGAGGAGGGAGATTTAATTTGCCGGTGTTAATTTTTACCCTTTTGTGTTTAGGCCGGAATTATCCAGAACAGGAGTGTTTGGAATATGCTGACCATTTCTAGATTGTATTTCAAACCGTGTGTGACTTTACAGCGAAGGATAAAGTGCTCCCCAGGTTTTACTTTGTTGGGCTCGAGTTTCTTACCCTCTGAGGATTGTGGAGTAGACCGCACTCACCTTGTGGGGGTGCTGGAGTGCGGATAGCCCCGTGCAGTCGGCTTGCTTGCAGAGCTGTTTGTCCTCTGCATCTTCATTTAAGTTCGGGTTAGTTAAACCCTGGTGTGCGATATAGTGATTCAGCACCCGGGTCGCTCCTGCTGCCCACCTCCCTCTGGTGGCCGTCAGTATGTTCTCCGTAGTTGAGAGTCTGGTTCTTGGTTCTCCTGTCTCTCTCTCACCCCGTGTTCATTCTCTTTGTGTCTTAAATTCTACATGTGAGGGAAATCACCTGATATTTGTCTTTCTCTGACTGACGTATCTTACGGAGCATAATACATTCTAACTCCATCCACGTTGTTACAAACGGAATGGAAAGATTCCATTCTTTTTTATGGCCGGGTAGTATTCCATTATTCCTTATCCGTTCATCCATCGATCGACACCTCGGGCTCTTTCCATCCTTCGACGATTGTCGATAACGCTGCTATAAACATCCAAGGGCATGTATCCCTTTGAACTCGTGTTTTGGTATTCTTTGCATAAATACCTAGTGGTGCGGTTGCTGGACTGTAGGGTGGTTCTGTTTTTAAATTTTTTGAGGAACCTCCATACTGTTTTCCAGATGGATTATTTATTTATTTATAAATATTTAATTATTTTGAGAGAGAGAGAGAGAGAGTGTGCATGAGCAGGGGAGGGGCAGAGAGAGAGAGGGAGAGAGAGGGAATCCCAAGCAGGCTCCATACTGGCAGCCCAGAGCCCAATGTGGGGCTCAAACTCACGAACTGTGAGATCATGAGCCGAAATCCAGAGTCGAACGCTTTACGTACCGAACCCCCCTGGTGCCCCCAGGTGGCATATTGAAGTCAGTGTCACACAGGGGGCGCGAGAGCCACATCGGCCCGGAGGTCGGAGGGGTGCAGGCTGACAAACCGGTCAGACCTTGTGCTTCTGAGTTTGACGGGTCTGGATCTGAGCTCTGGGTCCGCCCCTTCCTAGCCGCGTGGCCTTCCCCAAGTGGCTTATCCGTGCCTCTGTTTTCTCATCTGCCAAATGGCTGCCTGAGAAAGCCCATGAAATGAATTAGGGCAGGCCTAGCCCTTGGAAAACCCTACGAGCAGCTGCTTGTTACATGAGTGGTGGATGCCGTGAGATTGTGCCTCTGTCACCGTTAACAGCAAGCATTTTCCACAGTCACCGGTGCCATCGTGTGCCGTGGACACGCCCTGTGGCTGTCGCAGCCGTGTGGCCCCAGGCCCGCCGTCTGCCGAGACTGGGTTCCTCCGTGCTCGGACATAAGCTGGGCTTGTGTCCTTTCACGTCCTTTAAATAAAAGTTGGTGACAAAATTGAAAGAAGTAGAAACTAATTGATAATTACAGGTCCAGCACTGATTTGCAAAAAAAAAAAAAAAAAAAGTAAGTTTGCAAATACTCACAAACGGCCTCAGTTTTTACAACCTGGACTGAAACCTGGGTGCGGGACCATAGGCCGATGCTGCCGTCTGGATTGTCGTGCACCCGGAGCCGCCCCTCCTTTAACAGGTGGCTGCCGGTCACCTGGGCCCACCGTGCCTCCCTGAGCCCTGCTGACCCGGCCCCCCTCCGACTGGCCAGCCTCTGCCCCTGCCTCCCCGGCTTCCTGCAGCCTTCCGGTCGCCCCTGCGGGCCCCGCGAGGGACCCACTGCGCTCACGCCTCTGTCCTTTGTCCCCAGTGTCCTCCTGCGACCAGGAGCAGCAGTCGGCCCTGGAAGAGGCCAGGCAGCCCAAGAACGACAACGTGGTGATTCCGGAGTGCGCTCACGGTGGGCTCTACAAACCGGTGCAGTGCCACCCGTCCACCGGCTACTGCTGGTGCGTCCTCGTGGACACCGGACGCCCCATCCCCGGCACGTCCACCAGGTAGCGCTGCGCCCGCGGGCCGGGAGGCGCGGGCGGGAGGCCAGGGAAGGCGCGCCTGCTGTGGGTGCCGCCTTCACGAGTGCCCGGCCCCAGACCTCGCTTTGCTGCCCGGACAGCGCCGTGGGGCCGCCGCAGACACGAATGGCTCTGGCCGTCAGCACCTGGAGCACGCTGCCCCTCCGACGGCCCCCGGGAGCTGCCAGCGCGCAGCGGGGAGCGGTGATGCCTGAGGCTTCCGGGCCCCGATTTCGGCCGGCTGCAGTCGGGGAAGCGGGCTCGGTATCCAGCAGGGTGGGCGGCAGAATGCGCGTTTTGTCCACGGCGGCTTCCCCTGCTCTGCCTGTGGCACGGGGAGCCCCGCGTTTTCTAAGCTGAAAGAACCGATCGCCCCAAATGGCTTTCTTTTTTCTGTTTGTTTTTTCCAAATGGCTTTCTTTTTTTTTTTTTTTTTTTAATTTTGTTTTTTTCAACGTTTATTTCTTTTTGGGACAGAGAGAGACAGAGCATGAACGGGGGAGGGGCAGAGAGAGAGGGAGACACAGAATCGGAAACAGGCTCCAGGCTCCGAGCCATCAGCCCAGAGCCCGACGCGGGGCTCGAACTCACGGACTGCGAGATCGTGACCTGAGCTGAAGTCGGACGCTTAACCGACTGCACCACCCAGGCGCCCCCCAAATGGCTTTCTTTAGCATAAAATCAAGACAGTGTGCTAAAGGCGAGCTCAGCAAGAGCTGTTCAAGGGTCTGAGATGCAGAAACATTTACTGCCTCGTATTGTGTGTGAGTTTGAGCCAGGCTGTTTCGTCATCGCGCCCGAAGTGCACGAACTGCTCGTGGAACTGGGATAGACACGAGTGAAGATGTGTTTGCAGTCCTTTGTTACGTGAATTGAGTTTGAATTTTCGTAGATTGATAAGATAATTCACCAATGTACAAAAATATTTCAAAAGCCATCCAATTCGGCCTCTGGTTTCATATCTAGCACCTAGGCATGAGCGTTTTGACGCTTCCAGAATGATTTCCCCCAGTCTTTCAAGGGTGACCGTGAGACATTTAGGGGAGGAAGGCGGCCGAAGGACAGGCGACCAGCTCGCAAACGTCTGGTCGACGTGCAGTGAGCCCACACCTGGTCCCCGTCCGGGACAAGCAGGGGTCAAATTGGAAGAGCACAGTAGCATTCAAGCCGGTTCTTGGTGGCCAGCGAGTCACCCGTTCTGGCCACACGCCTTCTGTGCCCGCCCAGAGCAGACCCCCGCCCAGGCCTGCAGGCCGGTGAGTGGGGTTCGGCGACTACACGGCTGCCGCAAGAGAGCGTCCACACAAGTGTGCCCTGCACGGCTTGAGAAGAACGTAAATCTGTTTAGGGTGTTGGCGTGAGTGCTTTGTCTTGGTTCCCGTGCCCGTGTGTGTAGGGACTGTTCCCTAAAAACCTTTCTCAGGAAGCAGTGTTTCTGCCTTTAGAACTCAGGCTTGTTCACTGTGCATTTAGGTTGGGGCCTTTGCTCCCCAGGCCAGGGCTTGTGCTGCTGCCCTGATGGCCCCTCGGCCACACCTCCAGAAACGGGGGCCAGGCTCGCCGGGAGAGGCTTTGTTCACACTGGCCAACGGAAATCCTTGCTGTCAAAACCAGAACTGCTCGTATTGGCTCTGAGACGACCGGACCAGGGTTTACGGTGTCGTCCCTAGGGGACCTGTATGCATTTTTATCATAATCGGACAAGCAATGTAGGAACCCCTCTTCCCTCCTGTCTGTCCTGATTTCTTTCTGCCCAGACTTTATCGTGGCTTCAAAAACTTCAGGGAGAAGAGCATTAAGTTCTCATTTTCTCAGAATTTGCCCACAGAAGGGAGTACCTCCCTCTTAGAACTTTGACTTTCAAGAAACAGCATTAAATTAAACCCAGTGAGGAAGACCCTTTGGATGCCCGCATTTCTGTCTCATCCCTCCACCCACCCGTACATCCGTGCATCTGTCCATCCATCTATCCTCCATCCGTGGACATAAACAGTGAGGGGCTACGTTTACCTCAGGTGAGAATTACAGAGATGAAGGAAGCTGCATTTCAGTTGACGCTATGATTTGGTGATGTCACTGATGACACAGGATCTCCCAGGTCTTTACTTTGACATCCTCGCCGTGTTGTCTTTACCTTTGAATGGACTCTTCTCATGGTAATAAGATGGCTGCAGGCATCCGGGCATCTCATCCAGACACCACAGTGCTCAGAGGATACACAGCCCATTTCTTTACCGGGAGTCCAAACAACCTTCCCTAAACGTTACCTAGCAAATTTAATTCATGGATTGTTGGCCAGAACTGGATCGCACGGCCACGGGCAAACCCATGACTGGCCTGAAAAATGGACCTGGTTTAGACTGATCTCTAGAGAGGCATGGATGTTGGGAAATCAAAATTACCCACCTTAAGGGATATCTGATAAGCTGCAGGCCAGCCTCACCCACATCTACGACTGGCTGTACTGTGACTGGGCAGGAAGCCTGCAGAAAGTCCTCTTTCTGTCACATCGATGCTATTTTCTTACGATTTTCTGAAACAAGCAGTTCCAGAGAGATACTTCGTAGTTTCGCTGTATATTTGTGTAGATGGTGCACGTTTTTTCCCTCAGTTTTCCTCTATATTTGCGGACAGGAAGAGTAATTTAAAGCTCCAAGACAGAGGGGCGCCTGGGTGGCGCAGTCAGTTGAGCGTCCGACTTCAGCCAGGTCACGATCTCGCGGTCCGTGAGTTCGAGCCCCGCATCAGGCTCTGGGCTGATGGCTCAGAGCCTGAAGCCTGTTTCCGATTCTGTGTCTCCCTCTCTCTCTGCCCCTTCCCCGTTCATGCTCTGTCTCTCTCTGTCCCAAAAATAAATAAAAAACGTTGGAAAAAAAAAATTAAAAAAAATAAAAAATAAAGCTCTAAGACAGAGAGAAGGCATAGAAATAAAGTGCGCCGTCGTTATAAGCCAGGTAGCTCCTTTTCCTCGTCTCACCAGGCAAGGTAATGAAAACTCCCGGATGTTGGGGCCGGGAACAGTAGAAGTACGTGTTTGCCCGCCAGCGTGGAGAGTGGCTTCCGTCCAGCACAGAATTTCTGGTTCGGATGATCATCGGGGCGGAAACGGGTTGGGCCACGCGCCGACATGCCTCTTGGTTCTCCTGCCTTTCGGTGTCAGAACTGGCATCTTGGCTATAGAGTGGTGATTCCCTGTGGGCCGGGGCCCAGGCACCCGCGCGAGCCCACGCCCTGCGTGGTCCAGTGGGATCTGGGAGGAGAGGGGCGGGTTCCAGCCGGCCCCTGCTTCATAGTGGGGAGAGCTGAGTGGGCCATCCGATTATCCGACTAAGCGTGGATCGGGCTGGTGGCCAGCTTCTACGTTAGCTCCCAGAGCACAGCCATCTCTCTTTCACTTTCCTGATGGCTGATGAAGCATTCACCCATCTGCCATTAGACTTCAGGCTGTTCTTTTCTTTTTTTTTTTTTTTTTTTAATATTTATTTATTTTGGGGAGACAGAGTGCAAGCAGGGGAGGGGCAGAGAGAGAGGGAGACACAGAATCCGAAGCAGGCTCCGGGCTCCGGGCCATCAGCACAGAGCCTGACGTGGGGCTCGAACTCACGAAGCGTAGGATCGTGACCTGAGCCAACGTCGGACGCTTACCTGACTGAGCCACCCAGGGGCCCCAGACTTCAGGCTGTCCTTACCTCGCAGTAGGGCAGCCCCCCCATTCCCAACCCCAGAGCCCGACTCTGTCACTGGCCAAGCGCACGCGAAATCACCCTTCTTCCCAGCGGAGAGCCTGGTATCTGACGGGCAAGCAGACAGTCGAGAGATGCTCGTTTTTACTTCGCACAAGTGAGCGAAACGCTATTGAAAAGAATGTGAGGGGCGTAAACACTGAATTTGAGATTTGTTTTTACTGGAGACTTCAAAGGCGTTAATTCTGTTCCTTGAGATCGCCATTTCCGCAAGTTACGGCGTGTCACCATCCTCTTAAAAGAGGCAGAATGCTGTCATGTAAGTATACATTTTTGAATCCACACGTGTAGGATTCTTAAGAGCTCTCCAGTGAAACCTGGAACCAAGCTGGAAGGACAAGCGTGGCCGGCTTCCAGGCCGCTTCAAAGAAAGGCTCGGAGCGGGGGACTGCCACGCGGAGGCTCCGCACAGAGTCCACGCCATGGCTTAGCCTCTGACCCCACACAGCGGCCCGTGGCTGTCCCCGAGGGGCACCCCCTGATACTCCCGCAAACAGGACGTGCCCTCAGTGGCCGGGCACTTGACTGTCCACCGGGAGTTCCGTCCCCGGCTCCCACCTGTTCCGTCAGCAGGGGGGGCACTTGCTCGGCTCCTCCCACGGCCGTCAGCTGTGATGGTGTCAGTTCTCACACGGGCACCAGTTCCAACCTGTTCCAGCCCGCGGACACGGACCGGAGCCTGCGATAGAGACCGCGAGTTCTGCAAACGTCACCCGTGAGAAAGGGAGCTTAGCAGCAGTCCCTCCGACCGCTGGCTTCTTCCGCTCGCCCTCTCTGGGTGCATTTTGGCTCCCCTGTGCCCGCTGCGGTTCCAGTGTGGGGGCCACCCTGCTTGAGGCGGGTCCCCTCGCCTGTGCTCAGGGTCTCGTGACTGTGGGCCCGCTGCCGTCGACGCCGAACCCCACCGCGTTCCAGGCGAGTGTGAACGTGACAGCTTAACTGTGCGCCTGAGTGCGTGGGGGACGCTTCAGGTTCAAAATCAACGTTTTGAAAAGTCTGTTTCGTTTGTGTGAGTGAGTGTTAACTTCTCTGGCATCAAAGAGACTTTTCGGGGTGGGGGGCGGGGGGCTCGGGTTCCCCCTGGCGCTCGCTTCCGGCCGCAGCAGGTCGTCCCCCCGCCCCGGACTGGGCACCGGGGAGACGCTTGAGTTTCTCTTGTTCCCTGTGGCGGGAAAACAAAACAGCGAAGAGAAAGAGGAACCTGAAGTGACCTGTAAGAAGGAAACGTGGTGCCCCGCCCCTTCCTCCCGGAGCGAGGAAGGAGACCACGGCAGAATGGACGGTGGAACCTCGATCACTTCCCTGAAAGTCAGCAGGGTTCAGTCCGGAACATTCCACCTACGTCCCCTCCCCCGGCTCACACTGTCCAAGACCCTTTCCAGACCCGGCCGACCGCACGGGTGCTCAGGGAGGCAGGTCCCGCAGGTAGCGGCCCCGCTGCACGGGGGCCGTCCTCCCTGCGGCCTGGGTCTCCACTGCCGGTGCTCCCACACACGTTCCGGAGGAGCCGTCGGGAGGCCCTCGGGGGGCCAGTGCCGGCTGCCGGCCTGGCATCAGAGCCCTCAGCAGAGGTGCCCGGGGGCCCGTCAGTCAGTGCTGGAGCCCCCCCTGCACCTGCTCTCCTGAGGGGGGCGTCAGCGGCAGCCACAGCGCCTGCTCCACGCGGCCCCCACCCACCTGTCCGTTCCCCGTGCTTTTCTGTCCACTTGATGGGGGCCGGACGTAGTGTTTTCTTTCTCCTTCCCTTCCTCCCTCCCTCCCCCCTCCCTCCCTCCCTCCCTTCCTTCCTTCCTTCCTCCCTCCCTCCCTTCCTCCCTCCCTCCCTCCTTCCCTTTCCTTCTCTTCTTTCCTTCCTTTTTCCTTCCTTTCTTAACACAGGGACAACCTGTAGTAGCTTCATAAATTGGATTAAGATTTAGTTGGTCTCTCAGATATAAATAAAAAATTCGGAGGTTCTTTCCGAGAGTTTGCATTCTCTCCTGGGGCCACAGCCGCTGCCCTCACCTGCCCCCGGCCCCTCCCCCTCTGACCCGTAACAAATCCTGGAAGAGACGGGGTTGGTGTTCAGCAGCCGCCGTGTAAGATTTGTCCCAGAAACTGGACGGAGAGGTGCCGTCTTGTGCAATGTGCTCCTTCCTCCCGACTGTGAAAACTGAACTTTAGTAACCTGTCACAGAGGTCACGGAAAGTCGTCAGCCCTGAGAAGTGGACACGACAGGCGCGCTGCGGTCCAAGGACGGGGGCCGTCGCACAGCTGCCTGGGAAACAGAGGAGAGCACCGCCTTCTGAGTCTGAACCCGCTTTCCCTTCCGTTCCCTCACAGGTACGAGCAGCCAAACTGTGACAACACGGCCCGGGCTCACCCGACCCGAACAAGGGACTTGTACAAGGACCGTCCGCTGCAAGGTAAGCGCCACAGAGGCGTGGTGGGCACGCCTCCCCCAGCACCTGAGCCTTCTCGAAACTTCAGGACGAGAAGGAATCTCTCCTGCTCTGTCCCAAGTGGGCACCTGCGGGGCGGGGCTCACACGGGCTCACACGGGCACCTGCCCGCGTCAGCACCTGTGGCCGGCAAGGCCGGAAGTGCCGAGCCTCAGACCCAGCCTTTCCGAGAAGCGAACGGCGTCTCTAAAATCAGAACTTCTAAACCAAAAGGATCCTTTGTTTTACCTAAAAGACAGTATTAAGCCAAATGTCATGTTCTGACATTCCTTTAGGATGGAATCAACTGTTCAAGGAGCTGAAGTTTAGGTTTTAGTAAAACATGAGCTCGATCTCTGTATCAAGTATGTGTAGTCGCAAAGAACCGGTTCGAATTAAACAGAGGAGGTGAGTTAAACGTTATCATTATTGAAAATACATTCATGAAAAGGCGGTGTCTTTCAGCAAAGAGCACGTAAGTGTCGGTGATACAGCAAAAATGATTCCTTCGACAGGTACACCTGAAGCCTTTCGTGGGGGCCGCGTCTCCCCCGGAGTTTGCGTGGGATTAGGGGAGAGGGCCGCGTGCCAGCCGGCGGGGTCTTGGCGGCCGGGCGCATGTCATGAGATCAAGGAGTTCAGAGACGAAGCTCTGACATCGTGTGGTGCTTCACAGCCAGTTCTGTTTTATTTCATTGGGGTCTTCTTTTCTTCTTCTAAGTATCTCCAGATTGTGTTTCACCAATGCCTCAGAGACCGTGAAAATCCTTCTCGAATGTCCTTTAGCTCAGAGCACATGTTTGACCTTGGCCTTACACAAAGTCCGTAACAGTTCCGCTTAGAAGATGCGGTTCTTGCGTTGTCTGTCCTAGTATCAGGGAAGAGGGCTTTTTTTTTTTTTTTTTAATTTTTTTTTTTCAACGTTTATTTATTTTTGGGACAGAGAGAGACAGAGCATGAACGGGGGAGGGGCAGAGAGAGAGGGAGACACAGAATCGGAAACAGGCTCCAGGCTCTGAGCCATCAGCCCAGAGCCCGACGCGGGGCTCGAACTCACGGACCGCGAGATCGTGACCTGGCTGAAGTCGGACGCTCAACCGACTGCGCCACCCAGGCGCCCCTGGGAAGAGGGCTTTAAACTCTGACACGTAAAGATGTTTTCCTGTTTATGAATAAAGAGAGAAAACAATGGTGCATCACCGAGACGCACCTGTTACCCAGCCAACACTGGGGACCAAAGTTCCTAAGACAGAGGGAGGAGAGGAGCAGCTTCCTCCGTGAGAACAGCTCTGCCCGTCGCCCTCGCTTGTCCTGAGACGTCCGTGTGGGGGGCTGTCCCCCAGCTCCCACCAGTGTCTTTTGACACAGGTCCAAGTAGCCTGTGGGAGACACGGTTTTTATCGCACGGTGTCTGTCTCTGGGGGTGGTCTGCCTGCTTTGTGTCTCCGGGATCAGGCTCCCGCGTCTTGGGAGGGGGAGGGCATAGAGGTGCAGCTGCAGACACCCACGCAGATTCCCAGTTAAGCGCCTTGTGCATACATGACGTCTTACCCTTACAAGGAGCTCAGTGAATTGCCCAATCGCACGCGCCCTCATGTTCTCGGACCGGAGGGCCTTCTCTCCCTCCGTCGTCGGGTGCGATCTCTTGCCCTCCGTGGTGGACAAGACTGTTCCTCACAGGAAACAGTGAGTCTAGCAGGCGCTCGGTGCACGGAGAGCCCTCGCTGTGTTCAGCTGGTCTCAGTGCTGTCTCATAAACGTCAAGCGGATTGTTTGGCTTTGGCTCTGAGGTCCAAGACGCTTACCTTTTCCTTATTTGATAATACGGAACTGCACTACCTCTAACTAGAGCGTGTGTGGTTTCGACCGGGTTCGTGATTCAAGACGGAAACGGTCGTTTGTCTCGTGGAAGCAGCTGAGGGTCCAGTTGAGAAGCACGCAGATGTCTCACTGGCCGGTGCGGCCGTCACAGCACCTTCGGGAGTGTCAGGGAACACGTTGCGAGGAGGCGTCCTCGCAGCTGGACAGCCTGTCCCCTCGGCTGGGTTATCAGGCTGTCATGCAGAGATTCCCCCCCACCCCCCGCTCATACCTTAAATAAAAACCAGCCTCCAGACACACAGGCCACTGTATGCAAACCGTGTAACATTCTGCTTAGTACTGCTCATGACCACTTAATCATTTTGATTTTTTGGAGACGGTTTTCCTTATTAGGGAAAAACAAGTAGGTCTTGACATGACTCCAGGTTAGAGGCTATTCTTGTCGAGAGGAGAAACGTTTCCAGAACAGCACAGTGGCAGGCCCGTGGGCAGGCGCTTCAAGCCACACTGAGGCTGTTGCATTTTCTTCTTAAAAGGTACAGTTTTCGTTTTAACTGGCTTTCTAAGCCCCGGCCAGTAAGGGCCCTTTATTTTCTAAGACACGCTATAATTTTCTCACTCACGGTCCACGTTTTTAGAGGGTTTGTTGACTCTCAGGTAATTATTCCCACGGTTCGTGGGGCGGTGAGCACGTGCCCGGCTCTCATGAGCTGCCGCTCAGTGATGATTTCATCTTTGGAGGCTGGCGCTTTACCGTGTGGGGGGAGGTCAAGATCCCGCTAACGGGTCCCCTGTTGAGGACTGGGTCATTACTGGGGCTCTTTTATTCCATGAGTTTCCTTACAGGACGTGTCATAGCATCCTGCGGGGGGTAAACGCCGAGGGTGGCGGCAGTTTTAAACAAAGGCATTGAACTGCCCCTTTTCCATCTACGAATTGGTCTGACTTCCTCCAGTCCTGGCATCTGTCTGTCACATCTCTTTAGGCATCCACCCGGTGACCTCCACCCGCCGCGTCCCCTGCAGAGCTCTGTTCCCGGGGCTGCTGGCACGGAGCCTTTCCCCGGGGGCAGCTCTGTGCCGTCTATGCGGCTCCTTAGGGCGCCTGTCCCGGACACCTGTCTGCGGGACACAGCCACCGCATGTGTTCACGTGGGCTGTTTGCAGATGGCGCATGCCCTCATGTCTTCCGGGGGGCGGGGACTGAGCCTCCCGGGGCCCGCCGGCTGGCACAGCGCCCAGCACAGAGGAGGCGCTCATACGTGGCACAGAGTTTGTAAATTAAGGACACGAGGCCGCGTTTCTCCTCCTCTAAGCCTGTTGGCTGTTCCGGGCCGAGTGACATTGTGGACTTCGATGTAGCAAGCGGTTTGCAGACTGGGAGGTGTGCAGTGCGAGTCCTAGACGCCTGGGCTCCTCACGTGGGGGGAGGATGGCCTGGTGGATGGAGCTCGCTGCTCCTGCCAGCCCCCCCCCCCCCCCCCCCCCCGAGGGCTTGCCGCTGGCTGAGGGGAGGAAGACCTGTCTTCTCCTCCTCCTCCTCCTCCTCCGTTCTGGGCAGAGCCTGCGGCATCGTGACGAGACTGACAGACCCATCCCACGGCCCTGCGCCACCCCCCTTCCCCCCCACCGACGTGGCGCACACGCTTACTGCAGGGACAAGATGCGGCAGCCGCCAGCAGCCGGGGGCCCCTGTCCCCAGAGACCCGAGAAGGGGGTAGAACCACAACACACAGTCTTTTCAAGTCTACGGAGACAAAAAGCCCTTCGAGTCCCTGGTGACTGCAGGTGCACTGGGATCTTTGACCCAGCTAGGAACCCTAAAAGCACCCCTGCATCTCTCAAGTACTATGCTCACAGTGCTCTAATTTTTTGCAAGATTAATTATGATTTTCTAAGGTAAGATAAAATGATCCTTACTTTGTCCTGAGAATAGCAAGTATGTGTGTGTGTGTGTATGTATGTGCATTTGTGTATACATGTGTGTGCACGTGTATGTGTGTTCACGTGTGTATGTGTGTATGTGTATATGTTTGCATATGTGTGCATATGTATATATGTATGTAATTGTGTGTTCATGTATGTATACGTTTGTGCATGTGTGTATGTTTGTATATATTTGTATATGTGTATTTGTGTATGTTTGTGTGTGCATATACGTGTGTAATTATGTGTATGTATGTGTGTGCATATGTACAGTGTGTATGTTCATATATGTATGTGCGTGCATATATGTATGTGTATATATGTGTATATTTGTATCTGTGTATATGTGTGTATCTCTGTGTATATGTGTGTGTATGCATATGTGTGTATTTTTGTGTAGTTATGTGTGTATGTGTGTATGTATGTATATATGTATATATGTGTGTATATGTGTATGTGTGTCTGAGTGTATACGTGTGTGTATGTGTGTGTATGTATATATATGTGTGAGTGTATATGTGTGTGTATCTGTGTGTGTGTATGTATATGTACATGTGTCTGAGTATATATGTGTGTATATGTGTGTGTATGTGTGTGTCCGTGTGTCTGAGTATATACGTGTGTGTATGTGTATGTATGTATATATATGTGTGAGTGTATATGTGTATGTATGTATATGTGTGTATGTGTGTCCGTGTGTGTATATATGTGTGCATATGTGTGTATGTATGTGTACGTGTGTCTGAGTGTATATGTGTGTGTATGTGTATGTATATATATGTGTGAGTGTATATGTGTGTATGTGTGTGTATGTATGTGTACGTGTGTCTGAG